ATACCAGTTGTCCTGTTCATGAGGCATGGCTAACGGTAAGACCTTTGGCCAGTCGACATCCTTGTTGCCGTTATGAGCAACAATGAGTTTGCCCAAACGTGATAGGAATGCGTCAACGCTGCTAAAGACCTTCAGGTCGTCAGGCTTGGTCTTGGACTCCATGGGAGAAATGCCCACAACGTTGAACGTAGGAATCCAACTAGCATTAGGCTTGAAGGGTGGGGTGTTGCTCTTTGGCGACACACCAGAGCTGCTTGAAGAAGTAACAGAGGGTGGTGTGAATTTTGCTGGTACCAAAAAAGTACTGTTTTTGCGGTACCCCAATTTGCAGTACCTGTGGTAGTAGTTGTGGTAGTTAACCGCGTAGCACTTGAGAAACCTTGCACGTGCTATTCCGGTGCCCGGTAGCCACCGGAATGACCATGCTCAACTTTCTAAACACGTGATAAGCCATTGTTTCTTCATTGCTATCTTCAAGTGAGTGAATTAGCATGGATTGGGATTGTATATAAAGCTGCTGATGGCCATTAATGTAGATAAATCCTTTATTTATACTGAAATAAAAATATAGATTGATGATGATGACATGTGTTATTAAGCAATGATGGTAGATGCTGCTTAATGGGAAGTAGGAGGATGCTCATTGTCCCCATCACAGGTTCCGGCAAAGTAATTTATATCTTCAAATAACTTGTCAATTGCGGTTGGCGATATTTGCTGCCTTCGATAGCACACAATTACGGTACAATCAGGCGTTTTGGCAAGCCTCGTTGGGATATCCCTATCTGCTTCTTGGATCACGTTCACTGCTTTATCCAAATTGTCGATTTCACCCAGGAATAACTTTCCGTTTGGTTGTAGTATGCTGCCATGACAGAAGAAATGCATGCCTTCTTTCCAAGTTGATATTATCTTCGCGTGCAAGACGTATGGCTCCCCATGAATGGTGATTGTTGATGGAAACGGGATGTTTTGAGGATGCCCCGCGGCATTTGAACCATCATGGAAAAAAGTAAATGGTGGATGATATACCGCCACACTCTTCCGTTCTGCTTGACCATCACACGTTGGGCATCTCACGACCTTGCTTCTTCCAAGCACAGCATTGATTGTATCATTAACCTGCTTGCTATTGGCTGCCGAAAGATCGCGAGTCCGGATTTCATATGGGCTTATGGTTCTCACTGTTTCGTTATCCTTGTCACGGCCAACGCCAAGGTCTCCATGTTTGGGGCATACGGTCTTTCTTGTAAAATCCAATGTGAAAATTTGGCGTAGACGCGTTGATGCCTTTTCCAGCAAGGACCGGAAGAACTCATCAACATCGGCTGTCATTGATGGCTTGAAGGCAGGGAATTCTTTCCAAATGAACGATCGAAAAGATTTGGAAGCTTCGTATCGGGCACCGAGGTTGTGATAATTGTATAACTTGAGTGAACGATCAAGATTACGATCAACAAGGTTGCTTGTATCAAAGGGATAGTAACCTTCATGACGTAAAATTGGAAAGACCGATTGCATAAGCATTTCAAATGGCGCGTCAATATAGCAAGACGTCATGTTGTGATAGAGGTTCAGTAGACATCCCTCATGGTACAAGTGCACCGTATCTTGGACAGCCCGTGCAATGTCAATCTCTGGGGGATCGCATAATCCCGGTCTCCACATATCGCCAAAAACAAGTTTATCACGTTCCTCTTTGCTATCGATTGAGTTTCTTGCTTCGCCGTTGCCATGGCAATCAAGGTCCATGAGATTAAAGTCCGGTCCACAGATCTCCAGAGCAAGACTTCGTACTGATAGACGATCAGAAAGAATGCTGTTGTTGCAATCCAAATCAGAGTCAGAAAGCATGTTGAGATCTAGTGCATAGTATGTGTCAATTATTAATCATCTTCGTCATGTACAATAAAGAATGTCCCAATTGCTATGGGCCTTGATTTACCTATATAATCATCCTCAGGTTCTGAATGAGCAGAAAGGTGACTACGATTGCAATGCGACGCATCAGAGAAAGCGTTGGGGTCTAATAGCGTTTGTAAATTAGTATCATATGTACAAAAATGTCTCAATTGCCATTTGCCTTAACATACCTTCTTGGTATTCATCCTGATACAAATGTTCAGAAAGGAGGCTACGATCACAATTATGATCATCAGAAAGAGCATTGGGATCTAATAATATTTGTCAATGATCATGTCTAGTTCACTCACCATGTGCCTTATTTACCTTCGTATTTGCCGTGTGCATGCTTTCGTTGTGACTTAGAGCTTTTGTAATGCTTCTTCTTTTTCTTTGACTTCTTGGAGAGCCTTTTTTTCTTGGATAGCCTTGCATCGCGTTTGGCACCAGCATCAATCTTCTTGTTTGCACGTTTCATTGCGTCGACTGTGCATGGTGCATCACCATCGTTAACATACTTAGCAGCCTTGACCTTCCTTTTCTTTGAAGTACGGTGATCAGGATCTCCAACATGCTTGCGTTTGGCTTTTTTCTTGGACTTCTTTGGTTGCTTGCCATAATAATATGAGCTTCCTTGGAGATAGTTGTCCATTGCAAAGTCATCGTGTTGGATTAGCTGGAGCGTCCTCCTAAGATTGGTCACCAGACTGGTACTTCTCTTCTTCATCCTTCGGTAAACTTCATTGTGGAAGGATTCCACCGCGTTGGTGTCAGTGGTTGGATGGTCTTGAAGATCTTGCTTCATGGCTGACACGGCTGGAAAGATTGTTGTACGCACGTCATTGCGATTCCACCACTTGATCCAACTCTTGGCTATGTGGAACTTCTCTGCCAGGTTGCTGAGGATGGCATTGTACTCATCTTCTGTTTTAGCAAGTGTCAAAGAGGTGGCAAGCTTGCTGATTTCCTTCTTCCTGGTTTTTTCTCCCCCATGTTGCTGCTTGTATGCCTCGGCCATCTTGAAGACATTTCGCTTGAAGTGCACCCTGCATCCTTTGACATACTTGATCCCATCATCTCGTGCAGTGATCTCATGGTATGCTTGAATGAAGCCTCCTCTCTGTGCATCCGAAAAATCCATGATAATGCCAAGAATGTCCCTCCTTCCATCAAAAGTGATATCATAGACATCGAACAGTCTCATGAAGTATGCCTTGAAATTGCGTTGCGATAATCCATCAATCACAGCCGAGAAGATGGTTGCGTACTTTTGGATCTCTTGACAATATACAACGGTGGTGCATAAATAGAACCCCTTTTGGAATACGGTAAATGTTGCATCCATAATCATAGGGTATGCTTGAAGGTTGATGACTCCAGCAATTGCAGGTGGGCGAAACCCGATTACTGTGTTGCCTTTTGTTAAATCGAAGCTGACAAACATGTCCGAAAAGTCTTCTTGCACCTGATACAGCTCTTGAATAGCCGTCCTTACTTCGATCCCGGACTCATTCTTCTCTGTCACAGCCTTCTTCTTTTCCTTCCTCACATGGTAGCCCAACCGATCGATGTTTTGCAACATGGGATTGATATTGCGAACCGATGGGAATGTGGTGCCGATTGCGCTGCTCATGCCAAGGATCAGATCTTTCGGTGTTGCTCCAGGATTTGCTTCAATGCAGGTTCCAAGCTCTTGTTCTTGATCGGCAGAGAGATGAATCGCCATGTATTGGCCATGAGTATGACGATCCTGTCCTGGTTTTTTCCCTGGCTCCAGTCGACAAACATCTCCAACATAGACAACGCGCGCGACATACGAGCAACTGATATGTGCCAGGCGCTTCTTGCATTGCCCGCAGCCATCGTTTTCTTGCTTTGAACGGCCATCGCTTGTTGTCTTTGGGCGTATATCGACCTTGTAGCGTATGCATTCACCATCCATGCACCGTAAAGCACCAAGACAATGCTTGGAAATCGTCTTGCCTCGAGAAGTAGTTGTCATGTTATCTTGGCGAAGGGACCATCCAATTTCGGCTTTTGGATACATGTAAGCACCGGAACCATCAACTGCAGCTGGCACAGTGATAACGGCATCACCACTGGGAAACTGAGGGAAGCTTGTAGGTTGAATTGAAGCGGACATAGATAAAACTGGTAGAATTCGAGAATGCATGAGCAAGGATGTACCATCGCTAGTTAGCTCGAAGCACCTTATCTTTAGCTTAGGAGTCTGTGAAATGAATAAAAATTCAGGGTTTTGACGAGGAAGATGAGAATCCACAATTGATATTTATACGAGTTATCAAACACCTACGTCGGATGCGTCAACCCGTTTACTTCTACCATACGCGGCTGATCTATGTCTTTTTCTAGGTAATGTTATGCTTGGGAATAGGATTCATGTAACCGAGTATTCTACTCACGTACAAGAAGATGGCACAACGTATGAGGTAAGCAATAACAAATGATGGCTATGGACTACTACTTTACAATAGGGAGATCCTCTACTCTATCGTGGCAAATCTCACATGCATGAATTGCACGGTTACATGATCACCTTATCCATTTTCGGATCCCATCATCACAACACAATGCTCGCCATCTTATTCGAATTATCCGTTTGGAAGATATCATCATTGGCTTCTAAACACTATCGTCCATAACAAGCGTATATAGTCAAGTGCTCTCAATTGGAATAAATCACATCACGGTACTCTTTATCATCATCTCTTTTTGGCTATTTCTCATTGTTTAGCCATTTCAATATGGTATCGATATCTGCTCGATTCTATCTTATATTGAAAAAAGTTTAACGTATACGTGTTTTCTTGGTTTGCAATGAGGTACTTTTGTATTAGGGATCCAACAACAACAACAAGCTATATAAGCATACAGGTGTAACATACCCTAAAATCATCGTCACATTCATGTTGGTGTGATATATTGAACTTTGTGCGGTGGCTACCGGGCACCGGAATAGCACGTGCAAGGTTTCTCAAGTGCTACGCGGTTAACTACCACAACAACTACCACAACTACTACCACAGGTACTGCAAATTGGGGTACCGCAAAAACAGTACTTTTTGGTACCAGCAAAATTACATGGACCCAGTAACAGATGGTGTATCTCCCGTGAGCTCTTCAAGAATGCTCTTCGTGACCGATAAGCCATCCAACAAGAGCTTTTGCTGGTTTGTCACATCCTGCAATTGCTGCTGAACTTCCTGTGACGTAGGCTGCGCGAGGAGCTGGGCTTGGGTCACGGCCAAGGAAGTGAGTTTGGCCTTCGTGCTAGCAATGCTTTCACGAATGACCGAAACGTCATCCCGGTGGTTTGACGCACGAGCGCCCGTAAGCTCAACACTACCCGTAGTCGTAGGCATGTTGTTGGCAGTTGAGGTAGCGGCATTGTTGCCAGGCAGGTTGTTGCCATGGGCAGAGTTGTTGCCATTGGCAGAGTTGTTGGCAGGGGTGTTGTTGTTAGGAGAAGACATGATGAAAAAAAGATAAAAAAGAGTATTCACGGAAAAAAATGTAATATATGGAGATAGAGATGTGTGTGTGTGTGTGTGATAGCTGTAGAGCGAGAACTGGTAACAGTAAGTGTCCGTGAGACTCGATAAAGAGAAAGAAGACAAAGTTTATTTTGGATGACTACACGTTGTGTATATAGATGTGATGATGCAATCATGCTGAGTATGAAAGATGATGGTGGTGAGATCTTGAGAATACGACATTACCCCCCTCCAGATTGAAGGATGCGTGAGCAGGAAGGTGTAGAAGAAGTGTGAAGAATGAGAAGTGTGATGCACGTGGTTGGCGTAGTCATAAAAACCCTGTGTAAAAAACCCAGTGGGAAAAAAGTAAAAAGGGAAAAGACACTGCCGTGCATGATAATGCGAGAT